AGACAGATTGCAAGCAGTATCTAGACAGATTGCAAGCAGTAGTTAGATGGATTGCAAGCAGTACCTCGACGGATTGCAAGCAGTATCTAGACAGATTGCAAGCAGTACCTAGACAGATTGCAAGCAGTACCTAGACGAATTTCAAGCAGTACCTAGACGAATTGCAAGCAGTGCCTAGACGAATTGCAAGCAGTACCTAGACGGATTGCAAGCAGTACCTAGACGGATTGCAAGCAGTACCTAGACGAATTTCAAGCAGTACCTAGACGAATTGCAAGCAGTGCCTAGACGAATTTCAAGCAGTACCTAGACGAATTGCAAGCAGTGCCTAGACGAATTGCAAGCAGTATCTAGACAGATTGCAAGCAGTACCTAGACGAATTGCAAGCAGTGCCTAGACGAATTGCAAGCAGTACCTAGACGGATTGCAAGCAGTACCTAGACGGATTGCAAGCAGTACCTAGACGAATTTCAAGCAGTACCTAGACGAATTGCAAGCAGTGCCTAGACGAATTTCAAGCAGTACCTAGACGGATTGCAAGCAGTATCTAGACAGATTGCAAGCAGTACCTAGACAGATTGCAAGCAGTATCTAGACAGATTGCAAGCAGTACCTAGACAGATTGCAAGCAGTACCTAGACGAATTTCAAGCAGTACCTAGACGAATTGCAAGCAGTGCCTAGACGAATTGCAAGCAGTACCTAGACGGATTGCAAGCAGTACCTAGACGGATTGCAAGCAGTACCTAGACGAATTTCAAGCAGTACCTAGACGAATTGCAAGCAGTGCCTAGACGAATTTCAAGCAGTACCTAGACGAATTGCAAGCAGTGCCTAGACGAATTGCAAGCAGTATCTAGACAGATTGCAAGCAGTACCTAGACAGATTGCAAGCAGTACCTAGACAGATTGCAAGCAGTACCTAGACAGATTGCAAGCAGTACCTAGACAGATTGCAAGCAGTACCTAGACAGATTGCAAGCAGTACCTAGACAGATTGCAAGCAGTACCTAGACGAATTGTTGGTCGACCAAAAATTCTCAATAGTTGGAAGGAGAAACCATGTAATACCTACCGACGTTCCATCGCTTGATAGCTCGCCTATCGCAGCAATGTAGGTAAGCGTAACGCACGTGGGTTCGTTGTCGTTGTCATTGGTTACAGTGATATCTACATCAAGCGTTGCAGTTTTAGCCGGACTACCCCCGTCGACGGCCTTGATATTTAAAGTCACGGTATCACCAGTTACCTCCCAGTCGACTGTAGATTTCAATTCTAGTAGCCCGGTATCGGGATCAAGTTGGAAGTCATCGCCAGTGTCTCCTCCTAGAAAAGGGTAACATAACATAATGTGATACTGGACTAATCGCTTGAAATATGAATTATTGATTTTTTAAATCAATCAATTATTATTATTTAGAATATCAAATATGGGAACAAAACGTGTGTGCGATTACTGTGCTTGATGAGATGAAACAGCATTGAATTGTTTAGTATTTACTCGCTGTCATTTTAATACTCGTTTTGTCCACATTCGAGTTTTGCAATCCCTTATCATCATGATTAAGAAAGACTATATAATAATTATCAATAGTTACTAGCTATCATTAGTTGGCTTACCCTCTATAGTTAATATCACATCACCCTGGCTACCGTAATCATCGTCACTAACAACAATGGTCCCAACTGATGTACCAATGGGATCAAGCTC